AGTAGGTACAATTATTGTTCCTATTTTCTGGATGAGGAAACCAAGGCTCAGTGAGATACAATAACTTGACCATGGTCACATGGCCAGAAGGTACCATAGCACAGATTTGAACCTGTTTCTGTTTTGCCTAAGGATTGTCACTTAAAAAACAGCTTTTTCAAAAGTTGAATTAACACACATGCAGAAAAATACTCAATATACAAACATAACTTTCAATGACTTATCACAAACATTTGTGTAGGTACCAACTGGATCAAGGGAGAAAAGATGTCCAGCACTCCAGAAAACCCATGTGCTCCCTCCCAGTTACACCGCTCATGCTCCTCAGAGATGCCACCATTCTGGCTTCCAACCTCCAGTTGAGTTTGCCTTCATCCAAACGTTATGTAAGTGAAATCCTATAGGGGTATTCCTTGGTGTCTAGTTTCTATCACTCAACGCTATGCTTGTTGGATTTACCCTGTGGTGTATATCTGGAATCTGGGCCTTTTCCTTGCTGTATAGTATTCCACCAGCTATTATACGCAGTGAATCCAACCTGTTTTTGTGAACATTTGAGTTACTTGAGATTAGTTTAAAATGTGATAGTTTTAAAAAAACTTCATTGAAGTATAGTTGATTTACAATGCTGTGTTAATTTCTGCTGTACAGCAAAGTGATTCAGTTATGCATATATTCTTTTTCATATTATTTTCCATTATGATTTATCACAGAATATTGAATATAGTTCTCTGTGCTATATAATAGGACCTTGTTATTTATCCATCCTATATATAATAGTTTGCATCTGCTAATCCCAGACTCCCAATCCTTCCCTCCCCCACCCCACCTTGTCAACCACAAGTCTGTTCTCCATGTCTGTGAGTCCGTTTGTGTTTCATAGATATGTTCATGTGTGTCGTTAAAACGTGCTGTTGTGAGCAACAAAAATTGCTGTCTGTGAACATTCTTGTAAATGTCTTTTGGTGGACATAAGCATTCATTTCTGTTGGATATATACCTAAAAGTGGAAATGCTGGTCAGAGGCGGGTATATAGTCAGCTTTGGTAGATATGCCACACAATTTTTCAAAGCGTTTGTAGCAATTTACACTCCTAACAGCAGCACATTCAATTTCCAATTGCTCCACATTCTCACCAGCACTTGGGATTGTCAATTTTTGTAATTTTAGTGTAATGGTATCTCCTTGCAGTTTTAATAGGCATGCCCCTGATTTCTAATTAGGTTGAACACCTTTTAATGAGTTCATTGGCTCTCCGAACATCTTCTTTTGTGAAGCCTCTGTCCCAGTTTCTTGAGCGTTTGATTTGGTTTTCTGTCTTTTACTTATTGATTTGTGGAAAGTTTTTTTATAAGTTCTGAATAGGAGCCCATAGTTCTGGGTGTTGGAAATGTCTGCTTCCACTCTATGCCTTGAGTTTTCACTCTCTCACATGGTGTCTTTTAGTGAAGAGAAGCTCTTATGATTTTAATATATGGAATATATCAGTGTTCTCCTTTATGAATAGCGCTTTTTCCCTTGTTTAAGCCTTTTCCTACCCTCAAGGTTATAAAGACTGCCTCTGCTATAGGCTTCTGGAAACTTTGTTGTTTTGCCTTTCATATTTAGATCTACAATGCAATTGGGATTTATTTCTGTATATGGTGTGAGGTAGGGGGATTGGAAAACTCAATACCGTAATGATGGCAAATCTCTTCAAAGTGATATGTAGACTCAATGTCATCCCAATCCAAACCCCAACAGGAATTTGTTGTTGTTGTATGAGGGACCTGATAAACTGCTTCTAAAATTAATAGGCAAATTCAAAAGGCCAAGAATATCCAAGATAATCTTGCAGAGAGAATGACGAAAGGACATGTTTTATTGATGTCAAGACTATTATAAAGCTATAGTAATTGAGACCGTGCGATATTAACGTAAAGATAACCAAATCAACCAATGGAACCAAATAGAGAGCCCTGAACCAGTCTACATGCACGTGGGGATATATGCTATATCCAACAAACGTGGACCCACACATCAGTGGGGGAAAGACAGTTCTTTCAGTACATTGTGATGGGTCATCCATATGGGGAAAACCAAACTTGTCTCCAGGGCTCCCACTTTTCAGCACTTCACAGTGCCATGGTACTCTGTTCTTATATGCTTGTATGATGACGACAGTAATGACTATAACATCACCATTATATATTTATGATTTTGCCACTCTCAAGGTGCTTTCCAATCTATTATTTTCCCAAAACCCTAAGAAGCAGGCAGGAAAGACATTATTAGTCCTTTCATGGGTGATGAAGCAGAGACTCCAAGGGGTGAGTGACCAACCCAAAGACACTTGCCTAGCACTTGAGCCTCACCTGCTGGATTTCAAGCCTGCGGCTCCTTCCACTTTGTGAGGAGCCCAATTCCCATTCCTAAGGGAGATTAGGGAGGCACAGGAAGAAGTGGGCTTTGGCAGAGGTGGACTGGGAGTGGCTGGAGGTTAATCACACCCTTCTCAGACCCCCTACTATCCTGTAGTGGGCTCCTTGACCAGGTGCCAGTCCCCGGACATTTCCCCAGAGGAGGTTTGTCTCCAGGATAGAGCAGGAGGGTTGTGAGTTGTGGTGGGAAGAGGAGGGCATGGGAAAGGTGCAGAGGGTCTGCCATTTGGAATAATGCTGGCACCCAGTGGTGGGGTGGGCAGAAAAGCTGGGGTTCTGATTCAAGCTCTGCCATGAACTTGCTGCGTGCCTTTGGACAAATGACTTCACCCTTCTGGGCCTCAGTTTTCTGTGACTTCATCTTTAAATGAACCAATTCCAATATTTACCACCTAAGATGTTTGTAAAGAATTAACAGTAATTGTGCCTGTTGCTTAGCAAGGACTCAGCAATTCTTGGCCATCGATACTAGTATTATTCAGATCACTTCTTTCTGATAAAAAGCAATGGCCGCCACTGAGTGAGCATTTACGTGTCTTTTTCTCACGTAAAACTGGGAGCTCAGCCTTAGCAAAGGGTTTATGAGTTGCATTTGCCAAGCCCTCTCCATCTCCTGATACAGAATGGATGATTCTCTTTGTGCCAACCACTTTTACTTGTAGGTATAGAAAAAAGACTGGAAGGAACTACATCAAGATGTTAATAATCATTATCTCTGGGTGATGGGAGTGAGGTTGATTAGCTTTTCTTCATATTTTTAGTGTTTTCTGAATGATCTGCATTAAACAATAATTAATTTTATAATTGGGAAAACAATCGCTCTGATAAAAGAAATGCAGATACGAATTCTTCTTGCTAGTCTCAATGAGGAGTAGTCTGCAAAGGGCCACTTTAAAGCCTCTCCTTGAGTCCCAAGCTTAACAGATAATGGTTTGGGAGTCAGAAAGTCCAGAGTACAAATCTCAGCTCTGCTACTTTCTAGCTGTGCTAAGCCAGGTGAGTCTCTTAACCTCTCTGAGCCCCAGTTCTCTCATCTGAAAGATGAAAATGGAACTAGCTGCCTCCTAGGGTTGTTTTGATGACTTAAGGAGATGTGGTTGAAACTACATAGCCAGCTGTCTGGCATTTAGGAGGCTCTCACTCAGTGGTCGCTCTTCCATGAGATGGGCTCCTTTCCCAGAGTTTCACTGGAGATCCTTTGAAGGCCGGCATTATCTACCATCCCACTCTACAGAGGAAGATACAGAGGTTCAGAGGGGAGACTTGTCCAACATCACAGAACTCGGAAGGAATCTTCTGAAACAGGCTCAGAGAGCGTACGTGATCAGCCAGAGGTCACACGGCTTAAACTTACTGCCTGTGTAGTTTGTAAAACAACAAACTAACACCACCACCCCCCCAAAAAAAAAACCAGAGTGCCATTTATTGGGGGTTTACCATTGTGAGGCACCGTGTTAAGCCTCTTGAACAAAACCAGCAGCAACAATAACAAATACTCTGCCGTTTATCGAGTGCTTACTCAATGCCAGGCAGCTTGGCACTTCCCACAATCGTCTCAGTTAATTCTCCAGACAACCCTATGACGTGGGTCTCTAGAGCCCATTTTACAGACGAGGATACTGAGGCTCGGAGGCTGAGGCCCTTGCCCCAGCTCCGCAACAGGCCTGGCACCGGCTCTGCCCAGCTCCCCAGGAGGCTGCGGGAGGGCCAGGTGGCACGCAAGGAGTTAAGCGGTAGGCAGTGCTGTGGCTCCGCGCGGAGGAGCGCGCCGGGCTGAGGCGCGCTGCTGGCGGCGGCGGCGGCGGCGGCGGCGGCGGCGGCGCGGGGAGCTCGGGCTCCAGACGTGAAGTCCGGGGGGGCGAGCGAGGCAGCGAGGGAGGCAGCGAGAGAGAGAAGCGAGGCGGCGGGAGACCCGCGCCCAGCCGCAGCCCGTGCTCGGCGCACAGCGGGCCCGGGCATCCCCGGGCGGGTGCCTGCGCGGGGCCTCGCCTTGGCGCGGGGCACCCGCAGTGCCGCCCGCCAGCCCGCCCGAGCGCCAGGCTCGCAGGAGCCCGGTTTTCACTTCCTCTCGCCTCCGCCCGCCTCCCCGGCGCTCCAGCTGGCGTCGCCAACCACCTCCTCGTCCCAGGCCACCGCTGTCGCCGCTGCAACCCAGGACGTACACTCTTCCACTTTCCCGCTGGAGGCGCGGAGGATGTCCCTTGCACCACACCCGGAGAAATAGACCCCCGGGCCCGCCAGGAAGAGCCTTGGTGGCGAGAAAGAAAATCCAGTCTCTGCTTTCCTTGATGCCACTGCAGCAGCTGGCAGCTGGGAAGGTGCCCCCAGAGTGGGCGCACGAAGCGGGACGCGGGAGTCACAGAGAGAGAGACCCCAGGCGCCTGCTGGGCTCCCCTGGCAGAGTTTGCAAGTGGCTGAGACCCTCAGGTAAGGGCTGAGGGGCCTGGACCTGTTAGGAGGGCACCATAATGGAGGGGATGCAGAGCTGCTGTGAAAGGATTCCTGTCCCCCATCTGGGCTGCCTGTTCCAGCCGCTTCCTGGAGGCTGGGGTTCAGTGCCCAGAGCCAGGTGAGTAAAGAACCCTGAGTGGTGACAGCCCAGCTCTGGGTAGATGACAAACTTTCTCTCCTCTGGCAGAGGGGTGGACGTTCCGGCTCATCCAGGCGTCCTTCCTCCAGGCATCTCACTGGGTCCCCAAGGCAGGCACGTCCAGGGCTTCTCAGGATGAGCTGGGCCAGGGGGAAGGCAGTGGGCCCCTTTCATTTGGTTCATGAATCACCACCTTCTTGGCCAGTTCAGAGTTCTGAGGGAGAAGGAGCTGGACGTGTTTTCAAGTTGACTTTACAAGGTGCTTGTTGGGGGTGATACTCTGGTGAATGAGATTCCCCGTCATTTGGAGCCAGCATCCAGGGCTGCCCGGGTGATGGGCTCTGTGTAGAGTCCTTTGCAGTCTTGCTTATGTCCATTCTGGCATGTGTGTGTGTGTGTGTGTGTGTGTACGTGTAAGGAGGAGGAGAAAGAACTGGGGGCGGGGGCCCGTTCAGCCAGATCGCCCCTATCCAAGCCCTTCCAGCAGCCCCAAGCGTCATCACAGGAGCAGAATCACCTCCTTGGCAGAGATACTAGGAGCGGTAGGGAATCACCTCCCGTTCCTTGCAGCTCCTTAGATGAGCAAAAGATTTGGGGGAAGTTTCCTGAGCTGCTCAATGAGACCATTCATACTGGAGCCTGGGGGAGGTACAGACTTTTACAGAAAAGGGGTTGGAATTGACATTTTGGGTGGAGGCTCCTGGCACTCTCATCCCCAGCTCTGAGGGTGTGGGTACCCCCCACCCAATCCAGGCCCCTTGAGGCTCTGCTGAGCCCAGCACATAGCTCATGAGTTTGGCCAGATTATCTTTCCTTCTAATGAAAAACATACTCCAAAGAGGCCACCTGGTCTCCAAGGATCATTTTGGAGCCACCCCTGTGGTCACAGCCCCCTAGATGGCATCATGCTTCCTCCCTAGGGTTCCAGCCTGGGGCTGGGGTCATATCGATGGACTAGTTGGTCAGTGAGGCAGGCAGTGGAGGTGCTTCTGGCCATGACCTGACAGCTAGATGTATTTCCCTGGCCCTGTGGTCATTCTTGGCGTTTGCCTCTAGGGAATAGCATTGCTGTGTGGTTCCTGGACAGCACTTGAGGCATGAGGTGGGAGTCTGAAGACCTCCTGCCCTTGCTTGGCATTCTGACCTGGGGCCAGGCTAGGAGCTGCTTCTCTAGGCTGCTGGGACCCATGGATTCCTCCAGGGTGTCAGAGGCCAGTACTTGATGTTCTGGGGAAACCCCATCTTTGGGTCAGGAGTTTGAACTTCAAGTCTGCCCTCGATTTGCTATGTGACTTTGGGCAAATCACTAGACCTCTCTGGGCCCATTACTGCTTCTGTAAAATGAAGAAATTTCACGTATCCTCAGAAGTCCCAGTTCAGACACTCTTGTGGCCCTGAGTGATTGTCACAGATGCAATTTTCAGAATCCCAGGAGGCAATGTAATTTAGTGTTTAAGAGATCTAGGACTCAGATCCAACTGAGTTTGACCGGTCACTTCACCCTCCAAACCTCGGTCCCTCCATTGTAAAATGAGGAGTTCATAGTTCCTACTTCAGAAGGGTGTTGGGAGGACAAACTGAGATGGTGCATGGAAAGTGCTTAGTGTATCTAGTGAGACTGGAGCTACTCGGATGCAGCAGCAAGGCTGTCTGTTTTGGGGTCTTGTGCGCGGGCATCTGGGTGCTGTTATCCCTGGGGAGGCTGGCCCTGTCCTATCTGAGCACCAGGTGATCCTTGACTGAGGAGCAGGGTCCTTGTTCTCTCCAATCACCTGACACCTGCAGTCCCCGCCCCCTCACTGCTTCCTCATAAAAGCGCTTCTGGTCCAGCAGCTCCTAGTGGGGAGCCCCAGGTGGTCTGAGAGGACTGGATGCATCCAGCTGTTGCATTGCCAGAACAACAGGAGATAGAGGTAAGCTGTCCCCACGGCTTCAACTTTGCAGCTGCGTAGGGACCCAGGACAGAGAAGTTCAGTATGTCTGCCCTCCCCAGACTAGGGTTTCTCTGGGACCATGCTAAAACCTCGATGGGGAAGGCAGACCTCATCTTGGCCAACACGGAGTGAGTTAACAGGCATGCAGTCAGGGCTGGGGCAGGAGGAACTCCACCATGTGTTAGCTCGATCTGCGGGCTCGCCTTTCAGGATGCAGAAAATGAACACTTTGCTTTCCTGGCCGAGTAGGATGTGTGTGTCTGTGTAGACACATGTGTGTGAACGTGTGCATATGTATGCATTCTCATGTAGGCATGTGTACGTGTGCGCATGTGAGTATGACTTACATAAAAGCCTTAAGTGTGTGTGGGCACATGTGAGACTAGTGTCAATATGAGAGTGTACTCATGAGATTGCATGTCCATGGATTTATGGGTGGGTGTGTGTGTGCGTGTGCGCGTGCCTATGTGAGTCAGTGTGAGTGTGGGTACGCGTATGCACTTGTGAGTGTTTAAGCAGTTGTATGTATGTGATTAGCTGCACAGATGCAGCTGTGTGTTGTGAGGGTCTGTGTGCTGATCCCTGTGTTTGAGGAGCGGTGCGGGTCGGCCTGGGCGCATGCTTTGGTAGCTGTACGTGCTGTCTGCACATCTGTGTGGGCATCTGTGAGCGCCTGCATGTGTGTGCATGTACACATGTGTGTTCAATGATGTAAGCGTAAACTTACACACGTATCTATCTACATGCTTTTCAATGTACCTTTGTGTCTCTGAATGCATATATGTGCATAGCACTGCACACTTCTCTCTGTGTATGTGTGTGTGACTGTTTGCCATGGTGCAGCCCCTGTGAGTGTCTCTATGTATACGTGTGACTTTCTGAGCGTGTGCATCTGAGTGGTGGAGGGTACATTTGATTGTGTCTGCGTATGTGTGTGTTCCTGTGGGTGTGTACCTGTGTGTCTTGCAGTGTTAACTTGTGTATCTTTGCGTGTACACACGTGTTTCTGAGTGTGTGTACCTGTGTGAAGCATTGCATGCTTGGTTGTATCTCTGTGTATATGCATGTGTTTCTCTGGGTGAGTCCGTTGCCGTGTCACGTTGAGTGTGTCTCGGTGTGCACGTGAGTGTCTCTGAACGTGTCTTCCTGGATGTTGCACTGTGACTTTTGTGCATGTCTCCGTGCAGAAGTTTCTGAATGTGTGTACCTGGGGTGTTGCATTGCATCTTCTTATGAGTCCCTGGGTGTGTGATGTGTGTTTCTGCGTGTGTTTGCCTGTCCGTGGGGCAGTGTAACTTTTGTGCATGTCTCATGTGTACGTGTGCGCTTCTGAGCATGTGCATCTCTGCAGGTGTGTCTGAGTGTCCGCAGGGCTATAAAGGTGTGGGGTGGCGGGGCTGTAAACACAGCCAAGAGCGTCCAAACAGAACACATCTCCGAACCTTTAAAGCTCCTCTTCTGTCTGCTCTGCACCTCTGAACTGTGCTCATGCGTGTACCTTCCGAGTGTTGATTCAGCGATCGGTGGTGCCAGGTCTGAGCAGAGCGTTGGGACGTCGGATGTTCATTTTCCTGAGTGCCTTTGCTCTGAAGCCCGTGCCTTCCTCTGCCTCCAGCCCCTTTGGCCCCCACAATAGCCCACGTCTCCCTCACCAGAAGCCTGCACTTAGGCCAGTCGCTGAACAGACTCACAGATGTTCAGAGCGCAGGTATAATTTTAGGCAGAAGGTCTGAACGTAGGCAGCCTAGGATGCACCAAACATTTCGACAGCAGTTTCTAATTAGGAGCAACTTGTTTTCCTTAAATAAACAAATCAAGTGAGGAAAGAAATTGCCAGAGATGAACGGCTCCCCGGAGCAGGTCCAGATGTTGGGAAGATGGGGATGGGTCCCCACAGACTGCGCATGTTACTGCTCAGGGTCTTCCGGATTTTGACCAGGAGCTGCTGAGGCAGGGGCTGCAGAAGCTGGTGAGGAGAGCGGGGCAGTGCAGTGTGGGAACCCTTTCCGAGGTTTGCCTAGTGTTTGGTTATTGGGGTAAATACATCACTGGCCCCAGTTCCTCCCTCCTCCCCGTATCCACGCCCTCAGCCGTGCAGCGTTGCTGTTCTTCCCACTCAAGGGGCAGGCAGGGTTTATGCTCCTGATCCTTCACTTTGGGTTTGGCCATGTGTCTACGTTTGGTCACCGGTGGAAGTGACAGTGTGTCCATTCCAAGCTTAGGCCTCAGGGGCCTTGCATGTTTCTGCCATGGCTGGGAGAAGGGCTCCCCCAGGGTAGCTGCTGCCTCCTCAGCCTGGCCCCAGAATGAACACATGTCAACAGTGTTGACACAGCCTCAGTTTACCACCTTAGGAAATAAAATAAGGAAGGCATGTGCCTTAGTTTGCTCATCTGTAATATGGGAATGATAATAATAGTGCCTTCTTCTAGGGTTGCTATGAGTATTTACTAAGTAAATTCAGCCCATCTGCCCTCTCACCCACCGCCCCGGACACTGTAAAAGTGGGATTTGCCCGAGGTTGCAGAGGGTTGGTGGCAGACCTGAGGTTAGAACCTGAGCCTTCTACATCCCAACCCATGACAGGTCCACAGCCCCTTAGATCCCATGCTACTTTCACATGTGAGCATATTAGTTTCCTGTTGCTGCTGTAACAAATGACCACAAGCACAGAGATGTAAAACAATACAAACTTATTCTCTTACAGTTCTAGAGATCAGAAATCTAAAATGAGTCAGCAGGACTCTGTTCCTTCTGGACTCTCTAGGGGAGAATCCACTTCCATGCCTTTTCCAGCATCTGGAGGCTGCCCACATTCCTTGGCTCATGGCCCAACATCACTCTGACCTCTGCTTCCATTGTCATATCTCCATCTCTGACTTCTGAATCCCCTGCCTCCCTGTAATAAGGACACATGATGACATTGGGCCCCTTGGATAATCCAAGATCATCTCCCCATCTCAAGATCTTTAACTTACTCACATCTGCAAAGTCCCTTTTACCATGTTGGGTAACATTGTCCTAGGTTCCAGGAATTAGGACATGGATATCTTTGGAGGGTAGCTATTTGGCTACCACGGTGAAAAAAGTGAATGAATTATTCCACATTTGTTGATTCAACACATATTTACTGAGTGCTTAGATGCACCAGGCATGAATATTTACTGGGCACCTACCATGTACCAAGGTCTGTCTAGGCCCTGGGGATAAAGTGTTGAGCAAAGAGAGGCCCTGCTGTCCTAGGGGTGACTCCAGGAATGGGAGTTAGAACAAAAATGCGTGAATAAATAACGGAAGAGCTTCAATTTAAATAGTGATGAGTGCAGTGAGGAAAACGCAACAGGTGATGGCGGTGGTGTCTTCTGATAGCCCCTGTTGCGGTCCTCGGCATTCAGGAACCTCCCTCCCCTGCCCCTTCTGGCCTGGGGGTGTTCACGGCCCCTGTCTGTTGCCAGGCCCCAGGGGATGCACTACCCACCCCTAGTGGCTTCCCCACACTCTGCCCTCCCATCATAACTGTCCTTGGTCACACCGTTGGGGTGAGCCGTCTGTTATTACCTGATGGTCCCTGACTGATACAGGTGCTTTTACGTGCTGGGACGTGTGCTCTGCCCTTTTTGTGTTTCCATTCACTGATCTTTTTTTTTTTAATATACATTTATTTTTGGCTGCGTTGGGTCTTCATTGCTGCGCGCGAGCTTCCTCTAGTTGTGGCGAGGGGGCTACTCTTCATTGTGGTGTGCAGGCTTCTCATTGCGGTGGCTTCTCTTGTTGCGGAGCATGGGCTCTAGGTGCGCAGGCTTCAGTATCTGTGGCATGTGGGCTCAGTAGTCGTGGCTAGTGGGCTCTAGAGCGCAGGCTCAGTAGTTGTGCACAGGCTTTGTTGCTCCACGGCACGTGGGATCTTCCTGGACCAGGGATCGAACCCATGTCTCCTGCATTGGCAGGTGGATTCTTAACCACTGCACTACCAGGGAAGTCCCACTCATTGATCTTTATAACATCCCTCCGAGGAAGATGCTCTACTATTCCTTTCTCAGGTAATATAGCCATGTTCATAGCACCGTTATTCACAATGGTGGAAAAGTGGAAGCAACCCAAGTGTCATCGGCATGGGATAAACAAAATGTGGTCCATCCACAAGTGGAATATTATTCAGCCTTAAAATGGAACAAAATTCTAACACATACTACAACAAGGATGAACCTTAAGGATATTATGCTAAGTGAAATACACCAGACACAAAAGGACAAATACTGTATCATTCCACGTGTACAACATTCTTTTCTTTTTTTAATTTTTTATACAGCAGGTTCTTATTAGTTATCTATTTTATACATATTAGTGTATATATGTCAATCCCAATCTCCCAGTTCATCCCACCACCCATCCCACTTTCCTCCCTTGCTGTCCATATGTTTGTTCTCTATGTCTGTCTCTATTTCTGCCTTGCAAACCAGTTCATCTGTACCATTTTTCTAGATTCCACATATATGCATTAATATACGATATTTGTTTTGCTCTTTCTGACTTGCTTCACTCTGTATGACAGCCTCTAGGTCCATCCACGTCTCTACAAATGACCCAGTTCTGTTCCTTTTTATGGCTGAGTAATATTCCATTGTATATATGTACCACATCTTCTTTATCCATTCATCTGTCAGTGGGCATTTAGGTTGCTTCCATGACCTGGCTATTGTAAAGAGTGCTGCAGTGAACATTGGGGTGCATGTGTCTTTTTGAATTATGGTTTTCTCTGGGTATATGCCCAGTAGTGGGATTGCTGGATCATATGGTAATTCTATTTTTAGTTTTTTAAGGAACCTCCGTACTGTTCTCCATAGTTGCTGTATCAGTTTACATTCCCACTAACAGTGCAAGAGGGTTCCCTTTTCTCCACACCCTCTCCAGCATTTGTAGTTTGTAGATTTTCTGATGATGCCCATTCTAACCAGTGTGAGGTGATACCTCATTGTAGT